TATGCAAATCAGTAGAGGTATCGAATAGAAAATTTCGATTATAAAATGAAACAATCGTATTTCGAATGTAGCGTGTATCGTTGTACATAGTAATTTTCGTGGGTACATTCAACGCGTCAACCAAGCATAATAATAATCTGAATCTAACTTAACCCGGACAACGAGATTTTCACTTCCAAGTTACAATACCCACTTTGGGATTGCCTGTATACACTCTAACAAAGGAAGTTGATGTTCGCTCTGGTGGCGGAACTCGGTGATTTCTCAACAAAAGGCATGCAAGTTCGTATTCCTTGGGGTAGCTTCGAACGAGGAATGGGTTCTGCATAAGGGGTCGAGCAAATAGAGAGAAGGACAGGGGAGAACTTAAGACAAGGGATGGAAGAAGACGAGGAGGAAGCAAGTATTTCGATGATGATAAATACTTCCTGCGGAGGAACGTGATTTATGCCGTCATTAGAATAGTCGCCACGAACCTACGGTGTGGGTGGTGCATAATCATCGCTACCACGTACACCTACACTATCGCGCAAATGTGTTTGTTCATCGATTCCTTTTAATATTTATGAGGTACGTGTCTGAATTTACAGTCTAAACCTTTTGAACGGTCGAGTGCAAGCCCTCGTGCGATTTTTAGAAAAATCTCAAAGGGGGAGTGTTGAGACCGAGCCGTACTCGCAACGATACGCAGGACAGGTGTTTGGTTTTTTCTTCAAAATTTTTAAACGAGTCAAATAATCGATTAACAGGCTAATTGCCGAAAGTAATAAGGACCACCCATTGATCGTACAGATCTGACAAAATAGATACGCATTAATTGAACGAGAGGGGCTGCTCTCCTTTGATTACCTATTATCGATAATTATATGTTAACGGTGTACTTGCACCAGTGTATGTGACCAGATCCGGCTGGCACGTACTTGGGAACCTGTTCCACAACAGCAAAGAACATTGAATCAAATTGCACGCGCGTGCATGCGTGTACGCGAACTCTGTATTCACGCCTTCTAACCTTTCGCTACTAGCTGCGTATACTCATAAATATAGTAAATATTTCATTAACTCATTTTAGCTCACTGTTCTCGTTCCAGTTCTCTTTATCCGACTAATTTGTCGTTGCATAAATGAAAGTACATCTAATTAAAAAATTTTAAACGAGTTAATTTATAAATTATTAATGGTGTGTCTTGACTTCGCTCTTTTCAAATTCTGAATATACCTGCCTGAAATCGATAGCTTCTGATTTTATCGCTGTTACGAAAAATGAAAATGCCAATTATAATCGAAGCGCGCGTTTTCTGCGATATTTAACAAAATTGCAGAGAATTGTGACAGCGTATGCAGCAAAAAGGAACCGATAAAATTCGCATTTTGTCATAGTAACGGGTAAAAATAAATTCAAGTCCGAAGCGGATACTTGCGGTCGAATTCAATTTATACACCGGTTCCATGGGAAATCAAAGATTCAGCTTATGCTACGGGGACGCTTCGGAAGGTTTTTCTTCTGGAACTCCGGCGAGGAGTTATACGCGTTATTTGTTGAAGAAGAGGTGTCACGCGAGAAGATACATGCCTAACGACTCTGTCGTCGTGACCGAGCATATCGTGGCTCGCGATCGTTCCTGGAAATTTAATAGACACGTCCAGCACACTGTATATCCTTGATCCTTCGACAACGATACTGCCAGTACTGTCGAGGACTTCGTGCAATTCTAGATAAAGGAGCCACACCTTTTCAAGGCATGACGACACCTGCCACCGCTATCTCAAAAGTAACGAGATCGGTTCTTTGGCAAACTTTATTCTTAATCTGTTCGCGAGGCAAGATTGTTTTTTTTTAAAAATAATTCTTTACCTAAACGACATGCAACATCGAAACCGTTACGATAGGAGCGGTTAGATTTCATTTTGATAAGCGAAACGAATTAAGACGATACCGCGTTATCTTCGGTTAGCTTTTCAAGAATTAATTTGCACGTCATCAAAGTTGTTTGCGCAGTATCGTAAGAAGCTCTGCAGTTACGTAGCTATGATTGCGGAAACAGCGTCGGGTGCATAAAGAAAGGTTTTATCAAGAAATAACGATTGTTTATCGAACCGTCATATATTCTGAAACAAGTTTCCGTCACCTGAATAGCCTGAACGTGATCGAACGATCCAATAAACGTAATGCCAGGCTTTGAAACGTCCCGCAAGCCACTCGAGGTAACAAAGGGATCACGGTACAGCATCTTGCCGGGTACAGCAGCAAAAGGGTGGATCAGGGGTGTCAAATTCAATTCTAACTCACGTTAAGCGGTCGGAATTGAGGTCGTACCACCGAATTAACCCCACCAGATAATGCCATTACCATGGAAGCCTGAAATTACTGAACATTACGTATCGGCGGCAATTACACTCGTCGTATGTACGTGTACGCGTGTGCATGTAGAATAGTCGCTCTCTCTACGATCCCAAAACGATTACTTCATTTACATGCCGCATAAATACGCGAGGATCTGCGACGTGGCTAGCCTAGATCCTCCTTGATTACGAAGATTGCGTACCCTATCGATTCGTTCGAAAATTACTCCCTGGAAAGGCAAGGGTGTGAACCGATGCTCGCTGCGATTATTACTGGCCGTTCAATCGCGAGAGATGACCTGCATAAACGCCTATTATTGTAGTATCATGACCAGAAAATTTGCATTAGAAATCGTACAACGAGCACTGATACGTTGCCGAAACGAAAAATCGTATACGAATTTTGGTTTCTCAATTTTCAAATCTTTTAAATGCAAGAATTTCTCCAATCTCGAAATTGCCAAGTTTTCATAACCCACAAAATTTAATTATGGAAATCATTGTCGATGGCTGCCACCTTAGCGTTGCGCGGTTTCCTTGGGGACAAACGCGCTGCGCAAGGAAGGGTGCAGAAGGGACAGTCGAGAGGGTTCGGCATCCCCCCTACCCGCAAGGGATCCACCCTTATCTCTACTCTTACGATTCCTCTCATCGACCTTTCGACACCACACTCGTATTACGTTTAACTCTTTTCTTCGTACGATGACCGTTCTACATTTCTAATCAACCAGTCCCCCGCACAATAAAAACACGATCTTCGACGCATTTAATGGATGGCAATGCAGGCTACCATGCACCTTTTTTTTATCGGTTTTACGGCGTAATAAAACGGAATATTGCGGACAGACGAAGTACGTAACAGAGTAGGGAACGTGGGCATCGGTGACTTCAAGGAGAAATTAACAACAAAGTGTACGACTTACCGTTGTACAAGGATCTATGCTAATTGTTTAGTTTTCTGCGTTTGCCACGTTCGATTGCAATTCACGGCGTGCCTTGGAACTAATTTCTCGCATGAAAACGCGTGTCCATCGATTCGAAAAGAAGTAGAGAGATGGCCTGATCTATATGATCAAATAAAGGCGACGCAGAGAATCGTCTTTGTTAAGCCATAATCGTTAGTTTCTCAATTCGTGGTAGTTGGTAGCGCGCGTAAAACACAGCGAGATAGGCGTACGAGTTTACAGGTGGACGCGGTCTAGGCGTGCCGTCATAAATCTATCAAGCTCTGGCAAATTAAATCATTATCTGGAAGCTGCGAGCAAATTGCGCCGATGCATGCTCCCCCCTTTATCCATATCTGTTATTCCCCTTCACATCCCTCTTCCTTCTTCAACTTCGAGCATTGTTCCCGTGCTTCATTCTTATTGTTCTTTGTTTGCCACCACTTGCTTTATAGGTACGAGCAAACCCTGTATTCCTTCATTTCGATTTACCGATTTGATTTTCTCTGGATTATTTTACTATCGTACTCTCTTAATAAAAAGTAACGCGTTGATTGCCGCGGGATAATCACCGACCGGAATTGCTTTGATATCGTTCAGTACTTACACTAGATGCAAACTTCCTAAAGGCAGATATTTATAGCAGATAAAACGTGAAGAACTGCTTCAGACATTTCTGTGATAAACGGAGTAAATTTTTATTAGATTGCGATGTTCGAATATAAAACGATGCAAATCGTTATTCCTCTTTCTTAAATTCACTCAGCAACCCCTGACGAGTAACTTTCAGAAGTTTCCAGCCGCGATACCGCAGCCTTTGGGAGTGGAAGTCAACGACGTACGTTAATATTCGTAAATTCAGCCTTTTGGTTTTGCGAGGCAAAGGAAATTGTTCCACGGCTCGCGTTCCACTTGGAAATGTAATTTCGCCGAATCCAGCGGGTCCATTACCGGTTTTAAGTGTAAATATTATACAACTGGTAGCAGTCGAGGCTGTTTTTCCACGGGAATACGGAAACGCGACCGCAGAGAAGCCGTTGAAACGCGCTGTTCGTACCTGCTAAACTTTCAACGCGTTCGCGGTAGTTAATATAATACTAGACGTCTTTCGCAGCTTTCAACACTTTGTTTTATAAGATAAGGCATTCTTCGTTTACTCGGGCTAAAACATTGACCCTTTTCGCTTACAATTCCGCGGTGTGTGTCGCAAAAGCGCAGTAACACTATATGCCTTTTCATGGTTACTCAAATTTTGTATAATAAAATTATCACTTTTTCGCTTGCACCTATGACTTTATCCATTGTTCGTTAATCTGTCTAACCCAAAAACGATATTTTTTTAACAAGTTCTTTCTTTCCCTTCCTATATCGTACTTTAATTCGAAGTACACGTACGGAATTCGAATGGAAAATTCAATTTTCAGTAACGCATTGTTAATTTATTATGAATTATAGTTAAAAATTAATATTTCCGTTTAACAATTGCTCAATAACTTCGTTATGTCGTTCGTTTTCGTCGAACGGTTAAAGCGAAAGCGACGTTTCATAGCCGGCATGAAAATTCAAGTAGAACATCCGTACGATATGTCGGACGTATCAAGCGGTCGCTATAACGCACTGTTATTCTACTTAGGACTTCGATAAAAGTGTTCCTGAACATTTTCTTATCTTTCGAAAGTTAAAAAGAAGCGGAATAACGGATTTAAAACTTACCAGACCATCGCAGGCGGACAAAGCAACTTGGGAATTCGTATGTCCCTGAATGAAGCCCCGATAATGGCACTTGCTCGACCGATTTTTTGGCCGACTGCGCACATGTACGTCCCTTTTTCTCCTTTCAACGACCATACCAGCTCCGATAAAGTTTTCCACGGCAGTCAGCTCGATGTGGTACTCGTTACCAGCGACCGACAATCGATAGTGGACCACTGGTCCATCCTCGTGATGGTGGTGGGTCACGTTGTGCGAGATAAGTTCACCCAGGTGGGTCACTTTTCGTGGTATCACGATCTCGTGACCGTGGACATGTTTCTCGAGGGTGTATATACCTGAAAACGGAAGAATTCTTGTCTTTACTCGTATCGTGCATTTCAATTATTTTCACCTTTCAAATCGTATTACGACAGATAAAATGAAAGTTTGTAGGCGCCTAAGGAATCATTGTTCCTTATGTAACGGCAATCTATTCCTCGTTGCTGCAATTACATATAATTCTCTTCGATACGAACATTGAAAATATTCGTCGAAAGGTAGGATCGTTGCATTTACACGATCGTGTGCAACTTTACACCTCGACATTTTTTCAAGTTAAAACTGCAGAAAGTATGACTGATACATGGACGTACAATTTATCGTTTAAAATTTCTCTTTTAATACCATCGAACTCGAATAACAACGCTTGGCTCTAGGTTCAGACTATCCATCTTGCGCAAGAACCTTCGTTTTCCTTGAAATTTATTCCTAACGCGCGATAAATCTCGCTAGAACGTTTTGCAAACGGTCGGCTTGATAGGAACACGCCGTTCTACAGGGTGTCTTGCCGAAGATACCTTGATTTTACGTGCAAGAGGAAACAGAAGTTTCTTTTACGAGCCTTTCGTGGAAATCGAGTATGAAATTTCTCTAAGAACTTTTATATTTCAAAAGTAATGGTTTATTAATCCTCGGTTTCCCATCGATGTAAGAGTTCCGAATTATCGTGTCAACGCGTTATAGTACAATAACTTTATTGCGTTACGTCGTTATTCCGATTTAAATAAATAACTTCGTATTTCTTACAACCGATGTTGAATAATAAATGGAAGGTTCACGTTACAAATATCCTGAATTACGCGAAACCAATGTTCATTGTGTCGGTCGTGATAAACGACTAAAACCAAGCACATCGTAACATCTAAACAATCATTCAAAATATGAATAATAACCGAGGGTTATTTCATCGAGGCCGCTTTATAATCATGTCGCGATAACTGTCTTAATGTAAGCACGGGCGCAACGTTAATGCAATTATTTATTTGAAATATCGTTTATCCCAACGTTGGGTGTCCGCAATCAATCACACCCTTCCCTGGCTTGAATTCACCTTCTCTGTCATCGTTTATGACTCTAGTCACTTGGCTGCGCTACAATAAACCTTATCTCGCATTGCTACAACGGAGTTGCCGCCAGTAAACACTCGATAAATCTACAGGGTGTGTTGCAATTTATGTTACCATCGAGGATAAGGCGGTTTTGTATGAAAAAGTTAATGGAAAAGTGTGGAGTAAAATTTCATTCGAGGCTCGCTGAAAATTCTTCTAGGAGTTAATCACCTTTAACTTCTAAAGAAATGGGAATTTTCCTTTTCTGTTCTAAACAATACCTTATAACACTGAAATTGAAATTTAATTTTTGTCAAATTCGCAGTATTTTCCAAAGGCGAAGTAGCGCGTTATGAGGTAAAAGAGACCGCGAGCGAACAATTATCCGGCCAAAATGGAGGAGAAGAATTATTTGAAATTATGGCGTAGTAATCAAACAACGATCGCGGTAATGAAATGACCACAATACGAAAAGCGGTTTGTCGATCAGGCGACAACGTGAGGGCGAACGAGCGACAGTTATGCACTATAAAACTGGTGTAATAATTTCCGATTGATTTAATGGCGTTGCACGCGTGTCGAAGTAAACCGGGCTTGGAAAGGTACCGCCACGAGATTCGATTTGCACACCCTTCTCTCTTTCCCTACGGAGCTCGCCATTGCTTTTCAACGATCAATCCTGAAAGGAAATATTTTCGCTCACGTAGTCGTACGACGAGCCACAAAGACAACGTGTCTCGGATAATTTGTCAACGGGACGTCTTGCTATCGATAAATCTCGATCGCAGTTACGAGGTCGAAGATGTCGAAGAAGTTTGAAAAGCACCACGACCAAGAATTATGTCCTGTTTCGTCGTTCTCGGTGACGTAAACCGATGTGTCCTTTCGTTCACGAATAACGAGTGCGCCAAAAATATCTAACTAATTTTTTGTTCGTTTTATTTATGTCAGGACGTCCGTCTTTTTGAATTTTATTAAATTTTTAATTAACTTCTAGATTGCTTGGCAGTTTATGCTTCAGAATGTTAAGGGGTCAAGTATCGAAAAAATAAAAATGCACACGAAGCGTACTAATCAATATTCGTATATTGCACTACATAACATCGTCGTGGCACGATATAAATTCGCGCATACGTTAAAGAATAAATTATCACAGAGAAATATTAAATATTATATTAAATATTTTGACATATTTGTAGTAATTGTATGATCCGCTTTGCAATGGAATATTCGTACGGATCTGAACTAAAATATGCTGAAAAGTCGCGAATATATACGCATAGTTATTATAATTGTTTTAAAGCTTGAAAATTTGAAATAAAATGTATTTCTCGCAACTCGATCGAATGCTCGAAAGAATGCTTCACCGACAAAGGGTCAGTAATTGAAATACTGTAATTCGTTGTCTCTCCTTTAAATAAACTTTTATTATCGGCGATGTGTCTAACGAATAAATTGCAGTCGTTAAACGAAATCCAGTCGTAAATTTCCACGGATAAACATCGTTACACATGTAAACGCGATTCCTTCTTTATATTCACGGTCGTAAACGCGGTCGTAAACAGTCATAGTATCAAAGATTGTTGGTACGATTGTCGAGCGCTCGTCGTGATCGGTAACGATCGATCGTTCGAACCATCGACTATTGTCGACGGTGATCTAACGTTTAATAGAATAATTGTGGCTAGCCTCTGCCCGATGAGGACAGAGAGAAAAGGACGACAGGAATGCAGACAACGGATCAGCTGCGGAGTAATATGTCTTCATGTAGGAACAGCTTGACAATTAACGTCGTTGCGATTCAATCTGCATACCAAGATCGAATATCGTCTTTGATGAAACAAACGGTGCCGTTCCAGAATTTTCCGCCTCCAACGTATAATCTTTGATTAACTTCGTTAGAAATCGAATTTTAATTACTTATTCGAAACATACTAGTTTTAACCTTTATATTCTCTCAATTATGCCAATACTACTAACTATTAGAACGCTATCCGTCGAATCGTTATACATTAGATTGCTTGGAGCTGATCTGCCAATCGCCACTCGTTAAATTTCTACGCTTTGGATCTTCGCGCAGTAAATCATCGTATGCCGAATCGCTGCAGGAATTAGATCACTACTCGTAGATATTCACGCGTTATATCGCCACGGGTTGTATCGTGGCACGTTACACGCTGTGGATATTACATAATAAAATTAATGTTCGTTGATAGACGATGAACCGTGAAACGTGATGAGACAGAATAGATGGTACATTGGTCGTTTTCGTAGGTTCGGTACGATATCGAGCATCAGACGATTTACACAGTTTATGGGTTAATATCGTCTGTACATTAATATTGAACGCTAATCAGCTTGTTGGTCGTTGCAGCGTCAAATCACCGATGTAGCCGCGAGGAGAATTATTCGCATTGCGTGGCTTATTACGAACACACACCGGAAGCCGAATCTAAAATATCCGGGAAATTCCAGCGGCTCTTCCCGCAACAGAGATATACATTCTCGAAAATATACGACCGTCGACGAATGATAAATGTAAACGTCTGTAATTAATGACGCGCAGAGAAGACGAGGAATTACGAGCGAACCAGTAAATGGGATTATCGTCGAACGAACACAATGCAGTTTTGTTGCATATTTAGTCGTATCGATTTTATAGCTTTTTAAATTTAACGCCACGCTGGTAATGAATTTCCCTGGTAAGACATATTAAAACCGCGATCGTTACAAACAACGTCGGATAATTTTCGAATTTACGATTTAATAATAACGAAAAAATCGATCGAGAAGACGACACAAGAAGGAAAAGACGCCAGGAGACAAGCGCTTACACGATATCGGTGCTGTAAAAGGGGGATTCTTACGCGATCATTATCACGAGCGAGTTCGATCTACGGTTAAACGATCGATCGTTCGATTCGAGGAGTCGCTTTCCACGGCCCGATACAGGTTTCTTCGACGCGGAATAAATAACTGGACAAGGAGAAAAAGAGAGAGGGGTTTACCATCTAGTGCGTTCGGTGAACGGTATAATCATCATTATCCTATTATCATTAAAGTCGGAAAAATGGCGGCTGGACCAATCAACGTGCGCCTGGAGCGAGTACGGGGTTAACTACAGGTGGGGACTCGGATGAATACTCGGACCTCCCATACAGCCTTCTACCTACTGCAACGATCCTCTGTACAGGAGATCGTGCAACGTTACAGGTACCGATACTTCCCACATCGGACCCGTTCGATCCCTACACGACTCGTTTAATTACGCAAAATAGACGGTGCGTCCTCGTAGCTACCTAGAGTAATTGCACGCCGCTTCGGCGTTCGGTTATTAATTAACCTAACCCACGCGATTTTTTCACTTTTGCAACTCGACGATCAAATTCGAACGGAGGCTGCCGGTGAACGAAGGTCCACCGTGTACGTGTTCCATAATTTTTGCGCTCTATACGGTCATTTTCGGCATGGCGATCAAAGCGTTAAACGATTATCTCTACCGTGGCATTTGATTCGTAACAGCAACAAGTTAGCAGGGCTAAATAGGATCGAATCGAGAGCGCAGAGATTGGCGTATCGAATCCACTCGAGCGGTTCATCGAATCACTCGAATTTCTCAAATTAGACTTGCACGGAATCGGAGGCTGTGCCGGAGTCAAAAATAAATTTGACCGGTGTCAAGTGGTTACAAGGATTCACGCGAGCAGCTCAGATTCCGGTTCCAAGGGGATCGTGACGGCGCACTCGACAAGTTCCAGGAGTCAAAGTTATTAGGCGTCGAGCCGATACTTTATCGTTGATACCTGGTATTACGGTGGAAACCAGTTCCACCTTGGATGACTCACTCGTGAGGCCCCATCTCGGGTCCCATCGGCCGGACCTCGCAAAAATCCTTGCCCATTAGCATATACCTACTTATCGAATTCATTAAGGTTGCCGCGATAGCTGCGGAAACACGAACCAAGCAA